GAAATGACCATTTTTCTTGCATCCATTATTGAAAAGACCCCAAATATGGCAGCATTGCTCTATCTTTGGTCTGATCTGACTCTTGGCATTTTAAAGAAATAAAACTCATTTCCTCAATTCACAAAGTTTGTGTTGCTTTTAACTCAATATAAATGAAAAACTTTTAAAATCACCTTTTTTTCAGTGGTTTTAAAATTTGAATTTTTAACTGTTCCCTCCTCATGCGGACACAAATCCCAATGCTGGATATTCAAGCACCAGATAAAGGGGAGATTTTCAATCCCGGGATTATCTTGATTCCAAAAAGATATAATATGTCTATGTAAAACACACACAGACTGCCAAACAGAATTTGCCATTATATATATATATATATATATATATATATATATATATATATGTCAAGCATCTCAGTTCCTAGGAACCGACAGCCAGGTACCAGCACATATGATTTGATTATCGTGGTGAAGGTTTTGTGCAGAACCAACTAAACTTTTTTTGAAGGGCTGAATATAGAGACTTGCTGCACTACGTGCCACGAAGTCCTCAAACAACCCTCCGCAGGCTTTGAATTCAGGGTTGTCATATATATATATATATATATATATATATATATATATATATATATATATATATATATATATATATATAATTTAATCAAGACAAATGAAATGTATTCAGCTGAGACTAAAGCAGCTGAGTCTCACAATTACGGAACATCATCTCGTGGTAAATCAAATTTATAATCTACGTTACTAACTTACACAACTAATTAACTTATCCATCTTTTCCGACGGACATTCTAGATTTTCGAGAAAAATGTGCAGTGATTTTGAATATCTCATGAACCAGTTTTGCAGCTTTAATGAAAACTCGGCAACCAATTATCGGGTACCTTACTGAGCAGACATGAACAGACATCTCATCATCCAAATTCAAAATGAAAGCTACCAACAACTATTGACTTTTCCAAAATGCTAAAATTCTCGTTGATAGGGAAATTTCAGGCCATGGTCGAGATTAAGGAGAACGTGAAGTTTTTTTCGAGATTAAAGAGAACGTGAAGTTTTTTTTATGACAATCCAAAGGGGAATATTTGAAGGGGTCTAAGACGCCATTACTCAAGATCGGCTCGTTTCTCGCTAATATTAAATGAGACAGACCGAATATATAGAGTCGAAAAAGATCTAGCCGCTCGTATACTCGAGTTTGTATTTAGGTTCGAAACCGTATCTACGGCGCGTAGAACAATGCCCAATTTCATCAATTATTACACAGTTAATTAATTCAATCCTCATTACCTGTTGGCTTTTGGGTAGCTAAACTGAACTAATTGTTACATAAATTAGGGTAAAATAAGCTTTAGAGGATCCCTTCCATTGTTAAATTCCAGGTTTTATCTTTTCTTCCCCTATGATCTTGTGTAAATGTCGACTTCGTCCCACAAGTATAAAAAATAATGCAATTTTTTAAGTATCAATCGATCTATTTTCATTACTTCAAACGTTAATTTTAGGGGTTATCCGTGTTTGAATAAACGCCCCATTTCTATCTAACAATAGCAGTAGAGGTAATTTTTATTATTTTATTCAATCGAGCTAGCTCGGACATTCATGAGTCTATCACGCCAACATATCACGACATCCATGAGTCTATCACGCCAACATATCACGACATTCATGAGTCTATCACGCCAACATATCACGACATTCATGAGTCTATCACACCAACATATCACGACATTCATGAGTCTATCGCGCCAACATATCACGACATCCATGAGTCTATCACGCCAACATATCACGACATTCATGAGTCTATCACGCCAACATATCACGACATTCATGAGTCTATCACACCAACATATCACGACATTCATGAGTCTATCGCGCCAACATATCACGACATTCATGAGTCTATCGCGCCAACATATCACGACATTCATGAGTCTATCACGCCAACATATCACGGTCCTAAGCCAAGGTTTGGTTTATTTTGTTTTACAACATATCAACCTCAATAGGTCATTTAATGCCGACAACTTTTTCTTCCTGGTAATATTTTTGTTTTATCAAAAATCTATTTCTGTTAATATTTTTTCCTCAAAAATGTATATCTGGTAATGTTATTTTTTTCAAAAACGTATAGCTAGTAATATTATTTTTTCTCTTCAAAAATTTATTTCTCGTAATAATTTTTTACAAAGTATTTCTGGTATTAAAACCTATTTTTACACTTTTATAATGCTTTTTACTTCAGTTTCTTCGTTAACTATTTGCCCATAGCTGGGACCCTAACAGGTGCTAACACACCAGGTCAGGGTGGACCTGGGAACACCTGCAATTAAGAGGTGGTTCCACACTCCTCAAAGCCTGCTGATCAGAGGCCTTGCTGTTGGCCTTAGTTTATCGTCTTACACAGGACTCGGATGTAGTTTATTGTCATACCCAGGGCGCTGAGCGAAGGTCGGGGTTTCATTAGAGTGACATTCTGTGTTATAACCGGTTTATGTAAGTAGTTGCTGTGCGACCAACCTATCTTGCTCCATGGCTAGGTGTCCAAAGTTGTAGATCACTTCAAAGTTCTTGTTTTGCTTCCCAGCAATGTCCTGCAAAGCGCATTCTGCGTTCGTGTAAGATTGTAGAAATAACAAGAATGGGTGAATAGAGTTGTGATTTAGTTGGATGTTGTCTCTAAGAGATGTTAAATATAGCTTTCAGCCTCCGAATTCCATCAAGCTTAGACTCTAGGGTTTTAGTTAATGTCCAGGGAGTGGCGCCATATATTATCACCGCCTCTACAGTGGCTCGAAAGAATCTTCGCTTGAGGTTGACTGGGAGATTAGATTTCTAGATTACATCCATTTCATTCAAGGCGGTCCCGGCTTTAGCTATACGAATTTTCTTATCCTTTTCACTTCAAACACAGGTAGTCACTAAAAATAACGTTTATAGTAATAATATAAAATGCCGCCAATATCAAACAATCATGTCTAAAAGTTCATAGAACTTATTCCACGGCAAATAAAAACAAATCTAGTGTCGCTGACAAAACTAACCTGGCCGCTCGTCTTGAAATGGACCTCCAATCGGTTGTTACTTGGGGCAAGAATTGGCTGGTCAACTTTAACGCCTCAAAAACTAAACTACTCTCTATTAATCACCATAGAGATCCTTCCCTGCCCCCCATTAGAATATCTGATAGTCAACTTCTTGAGAGCAACTCCCTGCGTCTGCTGGGTCTCACGTTGACTGCTGACCTGAGATGGAACAAATACATTGAGTCAATTGCTTCGTCCACCGTGAGGAAAGTTGGCTCTCTGTGCCGCGCCAGGAAATTTTTCTCCCCGGAATCGATTCTTCAAATATACAAATCAACCATTCGCCCTTGCATGGAGTATTGCTGCCATATATGGTCTGGGGCACCTTCTGTTTACCTCAGAGTTCGTGACAAGATCCAGAGACGGATATGTAATATAATTGGCCTTAATCTGGCTTCTCGTCTACAGTCACTCTCTCACAGACGCGCCGTCGCCTCTCTCTGTCTTTTCTACAAATACTTTCATGGTAATTGCTCCGATGAGCTGCTTTCACTGGTTCCCAGACTCCATGAATTCAAGCGCCCTACGAGGCTGGCATCTCGCTCTCACCCTTTCACTGTAGAAACTTTAAAATGTAAACCGTCTCTTCTACTCCAATAGCTTCATACCTCGCACCTCTCGCCTGTGGAACTCCCTTCCCTATTACTGTTTCCCTGAGACCTATAATCTCCAACTATTCAAATGTAATGTCAGTCGACATCTCCAGTTACCTTGATCTATCCACTATCCTTCTCCTCATCCTTTCTTCTATCACTCCTATCTGCTCTTGCTCCAGATCTTCTGCAACCCCCTGCATCCTAGTGGCTTCACGCCTTGCTCGGGGCGTAATGCTTAAAAAAATAAATAAATAATTTTTTTTCAGCATAGATTTAATTATTTATTTTTATACATTTAGTTGCTTGATTTTTGTTTAGTGGCATATCAACACCTCTATGGGTTATTTAATGCCGAAATCTAGATATTTTTACGTCATTTTATACCTTCAACTACAGATATTTTGTACATAATTTTATACTTCCAAGGTAAAATTTGTTTTGTTTGTTTTGTTTTATGGCATATTAACCTCAATGGGTTATTTAATGCTGACAAGATTTTTATTTCTGGTAATATTTTCTTTTTTCAAATATTTATTGCTGATACTAATTTTTTTTTTTTAAGTATTTCTGGTATTAAAATCTATTTTTACACTTTCATAGTTTTTTGAGTCACGTTGTGGGGTCAACTATTTGCCCATAGCCTAACAGGTCAGGGTGGAGCTGGGAACACCACCAATTAAGAGGTGGTTCCACGCTCCTCAAAACCTCCTGATCAGAGGCCTTGCTGTTGGACGTAGTTTATCGTCTTACCCTGGATACGGATGCAGTTTATCGTCATACCCAGGACGGTCCAAGGTAAAAGTATGTTTTTTTTAAATATGTTCTTTGTAGATCGTAATTTTTTTTATGTATTGCTCGTATGCTGGTATTTTCACTACAAAAATGCATTCTTGGTCATTTCACTATAAAAATTTATTTTTAAACTTTCCTACTGTTTGGACTTTTGTTTAGTGGGGGGGTGGGGGTCACTATTTGCCCATAGCTGGGGCCCTAACTGGTGCTACCACACCGGATCTAGTGGACTTGAGAATAACAGCAATTCAGAGGTGGTTCCACACTCCTCAAAATCTCCAATCTCCCGATCAGAGGCTTGCTGCCAGGTGTAGTTTATCGTCATACCCAGGACGGTATTTAAAATTAAGCAAACTGGATTTTCTTAAAGTGTTTTAGTTTGGTTGATCCATTGGAAAAAACATAAAATATTTGAAACGAGAGGTTTGCAACTTGCGTTTCTGAGATCCCACCGTTTTCACGATCCAAGACCCCTACCCTTTTCTGGACCTTTTCAGACCTCAATTTATCTGATGTTCATCCTCCTCATCATCTCATTCTCTCTTCATCTTATTCTGTTATCCTCACCCGCTTTCTTTGTTCAGCTGATATATGTCAACCAATCTTAAATTACTTATTTCTCTCACTTTCTCCCTGTAAATTTCCTTCTTTCTTTCTCACTCTCGCGTCTCTCCTCTCTTTCCTCTTTGTCTTTTTCTTCCCCTTTCTTTATCTCTCTCTCCATTTCTATCTCCTTTATTGCCTTTCTCTTTTTGACTATTTCTATTTGTCTTAGTCTCTCGCTTTATCGTTTTCTCTTTCCCCATCTCTCTCTTTCTTTGCCTTTCACTCTCTCTCTCTCCTTTTCTCTCTCTTCACTTTTACCCCTTTCCCTTTCTCTCTCCCTTTCTCTCTCCTTTTCTATCTCCCTTTTCTTTCTTTCTTTCTTTCTTTCTTTCTCCACTATCTCTATTTCCTCATCTCCATTTTTATATCTTCCCCCCCTTTCACTTTCTATTTCGCTTTCTGTCTATCCCTCTCTCCTTTTCTCCCTATTTATTATCCTTTCTCATTTTCTACCTCTCCCTTTAAATCTTTCTGTATTTTCCCTCTGTCCTTTCCTTTTGTCTCCCCTTCTATCTCTCACTTCCTTTCTTTTACTCTCTCTTCTATCTCTGTCTTCCCTTCTCTCTGTAACTGCCTTTCTCTCTCCTTTCTTTTACTCTCTCCCTTCTATCTCGCTGTTACTTTCTCTCTGCATCTCCCTTTCCCTCTCCTTTCTTTTTCTCTCTCTCTCTCTCTCTCTCTCTCTCTCTCTCTCTCTCTCTCTCTTCCTTCCTCTCCGTATCTCCCTTTCTCTGTGCTTTCTTTTAGTCACTCTCTGTATCTCCCTTTCTCTCTACCTTTTTACTTTCTTCCTTTCTCTCCGTATCTTCATTTCTTCTCCTTTCTTTCACTCTCTCACTCTCTCTCTCTTCCTTTCTCTCCGTATTTCGCTTTCTCTTTCCTTTATTTTACTCTCTCTTCCTTTCTCTCTGTATCTCATTTTCTCTCTTTTCTTTTACTCTCTCTCTTCCTTTCTCTCCATATCTCCCTTTCTCTCGCCTTTCTTTCTTTCTCTCTCTCTCTCTTTCTATTTCCCTTTCTCTCTCATTTCTTTTACTCTATCTCTCTTCTGTTTTCTCTGTATCTTCCTTTCTCTCTGTTTTTACTCTCTCCCTTCCATCTTACTCTTCATTTCTTCATTTTCTCTTTTACTCTCTCTCTCTCTCTCCCTCTCTTCTTTTCTCTCCATATCTCCATTTCTCTTTCCTTTCTTTTACTCTCTCTCTCTCTTCCTTTCTCTCCATATCTCCATTTCTCTTTCCTTTCTTTTACTCTCTCTCTCTCCCTCTCTCTTCCTTTCTCTCCATGTCTCCCTTTCTTCTTCTTTCTTTTACTCTCTCTCTCTCTCTCTTTCTTTCTCACCGTATCGCTTTTTCTCTCTCCTTTCTTTTTCTCTCTCTCTCTCTTCCTTTCTCCCCGTATCTCCCATTCTTCTTCTTTTTTTTAACACTCTCTCTCTCTCTCTTTTTCTTTTCTATCTGTATTTCACTTTCTCTTTCTCTTTCTCTTTCGTTTCTTTTACTCTCACTCTCTTCCTTTCTCTCTGTAACTCCCTTTCTCTCCTTTCCTTTACTCTCTCTCTCTCTTCCTTTCTCTCTCTTTTCTCTCTCTCCCTCTCTCTCTCTCTCTCTCTCTCTGTCTTTTTCTCTACACTTATTATCCATATTTTTTCTGCTCCGCTTTATATTTTCTTTTCTTTATTCTTAAAATCATTTCCTGTTCGTCTATTTTTATTGTTTTTCCTCCTTGTTTCCTCAATTTTCCGCTTAACGAACAACTATCGACAATTGACGGTGAACATAGCTACCGGTGATGCTTGAACAACAAGACCTAAGTGCCTCTTCCAGTTTGCCAAAGCACAACTGGACAAACACTGCTCGCTTTTCAGTTGGCTTGTCCAAAAGCTCACCTGCGCTTGCGCAAATATAACGGGGATGTGCACATGCGCGGTTTGCCCGAATACAATCGCCTAATCTGCTTAAACGATGGCTCAAGATGCCGTCTGAACCAACATGAACACGGGAGAAGATTCCTGTGTTTGCCCGGGAATATGGCGACGTTTGACTGATGGCCGACCGAATGTCGATTCTTACTTAAGGAGTATTGATTCACAACAAGTGAGAGGATAGCATGTCGTGCCGCTGTCACCTGACACTTTCAGCTCACACTTGGCTCTGTTATATTGTGCGCCATTTTGCCTATCCAATGATTCGCACCCTCTCTACCTTACAAAGAATAAAATGAGAATAATAATAAAAAAAATACGATATAAATAAAATGGCGCATACTCTCTTTCACATACTCGTTTTTTTTTTCATTCTTGTATCTCAGTGTATTAACATAAACACTGATTTGTGTACACAGCTCGGGCTTTAATCACACATACACATACATAGACAAACACACACAGAGTGATAGATTTATGTAAATATTGACATGTACACATATAAAAACAAAGATACTGTATATATCTTTTATCTGCATATGCCATACATTTAGATACAATTAGATACGTTGCCGTGTACGCGCCCATGCAGAATCAAAAACTCCTTGATATCCAAATCGCCCATACAATCGCGGACAGACGCATTTACTTGCCACACACACACATGCAAATAAGAACGGAATGGACGCCTGGGTAAGTTTGCTTGTTTCTCTTTATTGCATGCTTATTATAAATACTTGCAGAAAATTCGCTTTCGTTTGCATTTTGCGAAAAACAGTCACTGCGACTGCGCGAGAGAAAAAAATTCCGGTCTTGTGATTATTTTAGGCGCTGGCCGGCGAAAATGGGTAAGTAAATATTTTAATCAAATTTTATATTTAAATTATTTTTTCTTTTTCAGTAATTATACAGGCCCACAAAAATCACACACACAGACACGCACACTCATATCTATCTATCTATCTATATATATATATATATATATATATATATATATATATATATATATATATATATATATATATATATATATATATATATATATATATATATATATATATATATGGCAAGAATAGAAACATAAACAATAACATTAATATTTTTTATAAAAATCAGATGAACGAAAATTATAAACAGGATGAATGCAGAATTAAGAACATTTAAAAAACAATGCATAACACCAATTGACAATAGCAAAAAATTAGATTAATTATTTCTTACAAAAAATTTAAAACCTCTAACCTTATAGTTAAAAATAATAATTCACCTCCTAGAACAAAATTAAATAGGACAGATATTATTTACGAATTTAAATGTCCATTAAGGAATTGTATTCCTGATCAATCAAAATTCGTAAATAATTATATAGGCCACACTACAACATGTTTGACACGCAGACTCACTCTACACCTTTCTGACCATAGATCAATTAGATCTCATTTAAATATTCATGGAAACCTACTGGACATTATTCGTAACATACTTGTTGACAACACAAATATAATAACATCATCTACATGCAAAAAAAGGCTAAAAATAATGAAAGCCTTATTAATAAAAGCAAAAAAAAACAACACTTAATAATATTAACTTTGAACATAGACCCAATATCTTGACTGTGTTTTGAAAAATGAAAACATTTTATAAAACATACATATAACAAACTATTTCTTATTTAATAGTTAAAATGGCTAAATGTATAGCCGAAAGCGCTCGGATAAAAAGAACATTCGGACAGTTTTTATATAATTTATCATCCGAAAAGGAAAAAAATTATTAGATCACATGAAAAATTGTATAAAAAACTAAATCAAAGCACCTTGTCTGTCCTATTCAATGAAATGTGCGTGAAAGAAGGATTGCTGCTTAAATACACACACACACACACATATATATATATGTATATATATATATATATATATATATATATATATATATATATATATATATATATATATATATATATATATATAAATTACATTAGAAACTACTGTCAAGGTACTGCGATTAAAATATTAAATTTTTCCTGTGTTCGTCTTTTCTTTTCTGTACATAAAGTGGGTAAAAACTGTCCAAATGTTTTATATATCAAGGCGCTTTCGGCTATTCTATTAGCCATTATTAAGGATGATTTTTTCAAAATGTATTATAGTTTTAACTTATATTGAACCTACCACTACATGCCTATCAAAAAGATTGACGTTGCCCTTTTCTGACCATAGCTCAATTAGGACTCGTTTAAATACACTCGGAAACCTGCCAAACTCTATCCGCAACATAATTGTAGAAAATACAAGTATAAAAGCCTCATCCACATGTGAAAAAGACTAAAAATAATGGAAGCATTACTAATAAAAAATTAAAAAGCCAATACTGAATAACATCAATTTTGAATACGGCCACAACATGCTGACCGTATTATGAAAATAATAAAACATTCCTGTCACTCTAGAAACATATAAAAAATCTACACATTCAGCTAAAAATAAAAAGACACCCTCGATAATGGCAAATAGATTAACCGATGGCGCCTTTGATATACATAATATTTAAACAATTTAAATTGTATTATTTAAACAATTTTTATACACTTGCTTTCCAGAAAAATAACACTTATACGAACAAAAGAAAAATTAGATAAAAATCTTTAATCGCCGTACCTTAACTGTTTTCTTTAATGAAACTTGTGTAAAAAGGGATTGCTGTCCAAATACACAATTATATATATATATATGTGTGTGTGTGTGTGTGTGTGTGTGTGTGTGTGTGTGTGTGTGTGTCTGTGTGTGCGTGTGTGTGTATTTCTAAAGAAACAGTAGATTTTTATTTATTAATCTGATATCTTTTTATCGCGTTAAACGTTATTATTTTTGTCGCAATATACATATATATATATACATATAAATTGAGAATATGGATTAAATCAGATAGAATGGTAGAAAATAAAACAAGTAGAAAAACCTTTATAAATTCGACCTGTTTTGGCATTCCGATACAAATATCAGGTACGTGTTTAAATAGGTGAAAATTACACACACACACACACATATATATATATATATATATATATATATATATATATATATATATATATATATATAGGTTCCCCACTCATTCACCATCATCATCAGCATGGTCATCATCAATTTGAACTGAAGAGCGGAACATTCTGACAATGTTTACAACAAGATGTAAATAGTCTTTTCTATCTAGTTGTCTATCTCAATCCCTTCATGTCTGTCTTTATCAGTCTGTTTAGATAGATAGATAGATAGATAGATAGATAGATAGATAGATAGATTGATTCTTTCATTTTTGCCTGATCAGTTAGTCTACAAAAGGCAAATATTTGCAATGATTGCTCGGCACACAAAAATGGAATCAATTCATCACTTTTGAAAAAGAAATTTAAAATGTATTTGTCAAAGCTCAGATCCAATCCGCTTGGCAGCTTTTACGTTTGTGGATCATGGACATTAATTCGTTGTGTATTCTGGAGGCCTTCATATTTCTTTTAATTGTTCTCTGCATTTCTTTTCTCATACCCATCTCACTGCCCAAAATGGTACCTCGGTGTCGGTTAATATATATATATATATATATATATATATATATATATATATATATATATATATGAATAAAGACAAAAGGAAATCTTATCTTGTTCGATGTGTTTCATCCTCTGAGGGACTTTATCAAGACAAATGCGATACGCACATTCTTCACACAGCTAAACTACTATGCAGAAGCCAACAGAAAGAAATTGACTATTCCAAATCAACATCCACGATAATGGCTAGAGAACTAAGCGCTCGGAACAATTCTAACTCTGGACAATTTCTAAATTCTTTATCTCAAAGAAAACCAGAAAATGGAAAAACTCAATAAAAGAATGATTAATTAAATCTTCCCTGTCAGCCGTTATATATATATATATATATATATATATATATATATATATATATATATATATATATATTTGTAACAGTAAAATTGTCCAGATCCTGTAACAGCAAAATTGTCCAATTGTTAGATTAAGCTCTAAACCATCGCAGCTTAGAAATGATTAAAGATATCTTACTGGAATTTTCCGGGTTTTTTATAATACTATTGGGCACTACTTTGAACAATAAGAATGTATAATTAATCTCCAAGCTTAACAGAAAAATCAATCATAAACGAAATCGACATTTTCATCATTAATTAATCATATCTCATAAAGTATTGAAATAAGTTCAAATATATATTTATTATTCCAGGATCATTTTCCAACTTATTCAATATCATCTATGACCTCTCTGACCTTATAACTTTCTATTTTAGAGTAACAAGGTGCTTCACGGGTTTCACGTACGATTTCATTTTCACGTCCTTTTTTCACTGCTCTTTGAACTGTCATAGCTGAAACTCCTCTCATGTGCCAATTGTGCATTGAGTTGGATCTTTTCTAATTGATCTCTTTAGCTGTAAGTTGAAATGATGACCCTTCTTCCTGTGGTGACCCCCTGATCCAGTTTTTCTCTCTACTGTTCCCTCTTTTTTAAAACTTATTCTCCGTTCTCTTGATGGTTCTTGAATGGACTTTGAAGATGGAAACCAGAATATGAATGTTAGTACCATTACTGAAGTACTGAACGATCTTTTTCCTCCCACCGTTGCTCAATTGGGAAGACATGGTGGGGCTGACACAAAACGATTTTAACTTGTTCTCTTTCTAGCCGAATAACTCAACGAGTTTGTCAGTGATTCTTATGACAAATGGTGTCAAGATGGCTAAGCGTCTTATCTGAAAACCTGGAAAAGGAATGAAAGATTACTGAAATATATGATCGACAAGAAAAAAATGTTCAAAATTTATCTTTCTGTTCTAATTCTAATAGTTTCTTCTCTTGTACATCTTGCATACTGAACACTCTTCCAGCTTTTTACTTTTGGGTATTTACCTTTAAACACTGAGTCAGGATGCGACGCAAGGTCAGTTTGTTGTAACGTGGGGAACCTGAGTTGGAACACTCAGGCCGGAAGGTCTTTTCTGGTCTTAGCTAATCATAGCCAGTGAATCCGGCTACAGAACAGATCTGAGGATTTTGTCAGGGAGAGGAGGTCACGGAACAGCTCGAGGTGAACTGTCCAAGCAGCAGAGATGAAAGCCCGATTCGGAACAGATACTACAACAGCTCGAGTTGAGCTGTCCAAGCAGCAGAGATGAAAGCCCGACACGGAACAGATACTACAACAGCTCGAGGCGAGCTGTCCAAGCAGCAGAGATGAAAGCCCGATTCGGAACAGATACTACAACAGCTCGAGTTGAGCTGTCCAAGCAGCAGAGATGAAAGCCCGACACGGAACAGATACTACTACAACAGCTCGAGGTGAGCTGTCCAAGCAACAGAGATGAAAGCCCGACACGGAACAGATACTGTCAACAGCTCGAGGTGAGCTGTCCAAGCAGCAGAGATGAAAGCCCGACACGGAACAGATACTACAACAGCTCGAGGCGAGCTGTCCAAGCAGCAGAGATGAAAGCCCGACTCGGAACAGATACTACAACAGCTCGAGGTGAGCTGTCCAAGCAGCAGAGATGAAAGCCCGACACGGAACAGATACTACAACAGCTCGAGGCGAGCTGTCCAAGCAGCAGAGATGAAAGCACGTCATGGAACAGATACTACAACAGCTCGAGGCGAGCTGTCCAAGCAGCAGAGATGAAAGCACGTCATAGAACAGATACTACAACAGCTCGAGGCGAGCTGTCCAAGCAGCAGAGATAAAAGCCCGACACGAACAGATACGCTCGAACAGATAAAAGCCCGATTCAACAGATACGAGGTGAGCTGTCCAAGCAGAGAGAGATGAAAGCCCGAGGAGACACGGAACAGATTCGAACAGATAAAAAGCCCGACACGGAACAGATACTACAACAGCTCGAGGCGAGCTGTCCAAGCAGCAGAGATAAGCCCGAAAAGCCCAACGACACGGAACAGATACTACACAACAGATACTACAACAACTCGAGGTGAGCTGTCCAAGCAGCAGAGATAAAACGCCCAACAGCTCGAGATGACTGTCCCAGATACTAAAAGCCCCAACGGAACAGATACTACAACAGCTCGAGATGAGCTGTCCAAGCAGCAGAGATGATAGCCCGACACGGAACAGATACTACAACAGCTCGGGGTGAGCTGTCCAAGCAGCAGAGATGAAAGCCCGACACGGAACAGATACTACAACAGCTCGAGGTGAGCTGACCAAGCAGCAGAGATGATAGCCCGACACGGAACAGATACTACAACAGCTCGAGTTGAGCTGTCCAAGCAGCAGAGATGAAAGCCCGACACGGAACAGATACTACAACAGCTCGAGTTGAGCTGTCCAAGCAGCAGAGATGAAAGCCCGTCACGGAACAGATACTACAGCATGCATCTCTTACATAACGGGTTGCCCTCTTCCTTATTTTCCTGTCAACTACATTCTGCAAAAGGTTCAATCCGGCCTCAGTCAACATCTTCTGACTCCTTCATTAGTGTTATTGTTATTGCTTTTTATCCTTACTAACAATTTCTCAGTTTCTCCCCCACTCTATTCTCCTTTCTCCACTCCACACCTTTCGCCTTGTATCGTATTTATCACATTGCTTGGAGTAAAAATTATTTTATTGAAATGCTTATTGACTCAAATATAAACTATTCCCGAAACAAATAAATGCTTATAAATTGAAACATAAACAACTAATATTTACGTATCTTGAACCAAGTAAATATTTATAGACGCCAATATAAATAACCAATATTTCCCCGAAACAAGTAAATGTTTTATAGACTGAAATATAAACAACCAACATTTAACTATTTTTAAACAAGAATTAAGAAGACAGACGATAACAATTGACATTGCATTTAAATTTAAATCAAGCTTGACAGAAAAGCAAGAAGCTGGAAGAGATTTCCACAAGCAAGAAGTGAGAGAGAAGAAAATGTTATCATAGAACTTATGGTTACATCTAGTCAATTCAACTGTAAAATGATGAGACCTAACCGCCAATCTGGTATTGGGCTTAAATTCATAAAGTCTAGATAACATAGGTGGAAAGCTCAGAAGAATTACCATGAAACTATTTGACACTAAAACAACACATTCTTAGTTATCATTCTTACTAAAGCCACCATAGTACCAAAAGAAGTTTCATCAGAACAATTACCATGAAAACCTTTATAGAAAAGGCAAAGGGAAGCTACATTATGACGGAGGGTGACTGAAGCCGAGATACCAGGTAAAAACAATTAATATTGCAGATTCTTCTTTGGATGTTATCAAGAATCTCTAAATATGTAGCAGGAGCACAAGTGGCAGCAATATTCAAAGCAAGAACGGAAAAAATGCCAGGTGGGAGATTGTAAGGCGACAAATTACCAATAGGGAAAATTCCCATTTAAAATTTGCCTGTGCGAAATATTGCCATTGACAAATTAAAAGATTGAACTCAGAGAATCTGATCTAAACGAAAAGAATTTAAATACTAAAAAAAAAACATTAATTCCTCTTTTTATAACTTTTAACTTTTTTATTTACTTTTAAGCCAAATTATCATTTCTATTTTTATAATTTATTTATATATATTTATTTTTATTATTTGACTATCCCTTTTTCGTTTTATAATCGCTTATTTTATTATTTGAAGTCAAACGTAAATGGCGGGAATATTAGTAAGATATGAAGCCTAGCTTCATGACTCGTTTTATAATTGCTTTTTCGTACCAAAACTACAATTAGTCCATTTATATTTGCTTACTTTAGACGAGTTGATGCTTTTTTTGTTGTAAGGTGGTTACTTTTATTTTTTTAAATAGTACTTTGTTTTGTTTGTGTGAATTCTAAAAGTATTAATCCCTTCAAATGAAGTTAAATTTGCATTTAGCCTCTTTAGAAAAGGAATTATTTCTTTTATTTTTTAAATTTCTAAATTTTTTTAATGTGATTTTGAAAAGGCTTAGATAAATGGATTAATAAATGTTTTTTTTTCCCCAAACTGACCATTCTTTTTATTGGTTACATTTCTGCTAGGAACGTTATAGAAAGATTCTGAAGCTTCGTTTCAAAAACTGATACCCACAATGAAAATTAGTTTAGTTGAATGTTTTTCATACCTTGCCTTTTTCCCGTGTCTTGAATTTATCGGCTTTGAAGAGCTTATCAGACGGTGAAGATATTTTTGAAAATAATGCACGTCTTCCAATTATCTGGAAATGCGTTTCATTTTTGAAGAAGTAGGAAATATTAGTGAAAGCACAAACGCTACGATTCGAACGAGCAGATGAGATTTGTAATCCCAAATAGTACAAATATATCAATGATAAACTAAAGAGAAATGTCGAGCTATATAATCCAGTCTGTATAATCCAATCTATATAATCCAGAAGATAAAATCACATTTCTTTGATCTGTTGTTTATATTCTCCAATTATTTTAACATCTTTCCCATATATTTTTTTAATTTTCTTTTCTATCTTAATTTTGTATAAATTTTTAATTTTTGTATTTTTCTTATTTTTTTTATTTTTTTTTTTTTTTGATATTTTTATGTACAAAATGTGAAACAGTAATATTTTTCGTTTAATTTTAAGGCATTGATTTCATAAAAAGTCACACCGTTTTTCTGAACTTGTTCTAAAGCACTCTCAGATAAATAGATTCAAAAACCTGTCAATTTTCCTTGCTGGCAATTTTCTCAATGGGAATTTTCCCCAATGGCAATTTTTCGCCAGGCAATTTTACAACTGGGAATTTTTCGTGCACGTAACGGCGAATGGCAAACTTATAAATATGTTAGGTAGACATTACCTTCTCCAAGAGTGTTTGTTCATTTCTGTGTCTGCTGTCAACATATTCTCATCAACATATCTTATGCTGTTAATGTTCTGGAATCCAATAATAAATCCTGGTAGGACTTCTAATTCTCTGAGAATCGCATCAATAATGCTTTAATAACAAATAGATAGCTTCGAATGTCGAGTGGTTCAGATTCCTACGTGGTCAACTGCTCCCTTTTTTCTGTTTAGGATTGGATTTCAGGATCCTTATAAAATCTACTTCAACACTATACAATACATTCTTCTGCAAAGGTTATTTTTTGAATTTATATTCTTCCTTCGGTTCCTAAAGGTACAACTCTATATTTTTGAATAGGAAATGTTATTTATTTTTTTCCCTTGTTTCCTAGTTCAGGAATTGAGGTTTCCCTGGTTCCTTTCTAAAGTCTACTTCAACTCTATACTTCTGACATCTCCACCTAAACTCTGAAATGTTATTTATTTATTTTCTTCCTTCAGTAGGAGTAGATAGGTTTTTTGAATAGGGGTAGAGGTTTATCCCTTGTTTCCTGTTTAGGATTGGGTTTCTGGTTCCTTCTAAAGTCTACTTCAACTCTATACTTCTAACATCTCTGCCTTAACTCTGAAATGTTATTTATTTATTTTCTTCCTTCAGTAAAGATAGGTTTTTGAATAGTTTTATCCTTTGTTTCCTGTTTAGGATTGAGTTTCTGGTTTTCTAAAGTCTACTTCAACTCTATACTTCTAACATCTCTGCCTTAACTCTGAAATGTTATTTATTTATTTTCTTCCTTCAGTAGAAGTAGATAGGTTTTTTTGAATAGGAGTAGAGGTTTATCCCTTGTTTCCTGTTTAGGATTGGGTTTCTGGTTCCTTCTAAAGTCTACTTCAACTCTATACTTCTGACATCTCTGCCTTAACTCTGAAATGTTATTTATTTATTTTCTTCCTTCAGTAGGAGTAGATAGGTTTTTGAAAAGGGTTTTATCCCTTGTTTCCTGTTTAGGATTGGGTTTCTGGTTCCTTCTAAAGTCTAAGGTATTCTCTATCCTGTAGAAATAGATAGGTTTTGAATAGGGTAGAGGTTTATCCCTTGTTTCCTGTTTAGGGTTTCTGGTTCCTTCTAAAGTCTACTTCAACTTTCTGAAATGTTATTTATTTATTTTCTTCCTTCAGTAGGAGTAGATAGGTTTTTTTTGAATAGGGTAGAGGTTTATCCTTGTTTCCTGTTTAGGATTGAGTTTCTGGTTCCTTCTAAAGTCTAATTCAACTCTAACTCTGAAAATGTTATTTATTTATTTTCTTCCTTCAGTAGAAGTAGATAGGTTTTTTGAATAGGAGTAGAGGTTTATCCCTTGTTTCCTGTTTAGGATTGAGTTTCTGGTTCCTTCTAAAGTCTAATTCAACTCTATACTTCTAACATCTCTGCCTTAACTCTGAAATGTTATTTATTTATTTTCTTCCTTCAGTAGAAGTAGATAGGTTTTTTGAATAGGAGTAGAGGTTTATCCCTTGTTTCCTGTTTAGGATTGAGTTTCTGGTTCCTTCTAAAGTCTAATTCAACTCTATACTTCTAACATCTCTGCCTTAACTCTGAAATATTATTTATTTATTTTCTTCCTTCAGTAGGAGTAGATAGGTTTTTTGAAAAGGAGTAGAGGTTTATCCCTTGTTTCCTGTTTAGGATTGGGTTTCTGGTTCCTTCTAAAGTCTACTTCAACTCTATACTTCTAACATCTCTGCCTTAACTCTGAAATGTTATTTATTTATTTTCTTCCTTCAGTAGAAGTAGATAGGTTTTTTTGAATAGGAGTAGAGGTTTATCCCTTGCTTCCTGTTTAGGATTGGGTTTCTGGTTCCTTCTACAGTCTACTTCAACTCTATACTTCTAACATCTCTGCCTTAACTCTGAAATGTTATTTATTTATTTTCTTCCTTCGGTAGAAGTAGTTAGGATTTTTCCTTCTAAAGTCTACCAATAGGAGTAGAGGTTTATCCCTTGTTTTCTTCCTTTAGGATTGATAGGTTTTTGTTTATCCTTTTCTGTTTAGTCTGCGTTCAAAGTCTATAACTTTTTAACGTCTCCTGTCACTGAAATGTAATACAACTTTCCATACACTAACTAGATTTAATAGGAGCAGAGGTTTATCCTTGATTGTGTGTATTTCAACCTCTATACTTTTAACGTCTCTGTTTTTTTTCTTTTTTTTTTTTTTTTTTTTTTTTTTTTTTTTTTTTAAAAAATAAAAAAATTAAAAAGTCCAATGAAAAGTCCCTTCATTGTCTCACACCCTTTCTATTTTTGTGTATTTATTAAATTCATTTTCTATCCAGATGCAGGCGGTTTGTTCCAAATATAATTCCTGCGTTATTCTAATATCTCTCCCAAATTAATCAAGCATACCTTGCAATTCGTATAGTTCTGATGTCAAATAACGAAAATTCACTTTTTGCATGTGGTAAATAGATTAAGTAGCTAGACTTTTATCCACAACAGCTCGACGAGATACAATTTTTCGCTTGATATTCTCCCAACAAGCCACAATGGCGTGTCCATCGGCGTTTCATTTTTATTCTTATTTTTTATTTTTTTTCTGCATTCTTCTAAATACATTATTTTGCTTCCCCGACCTTGGAGGATGATTGTTACACAGAAAACGCGGCTATTAACGAGCGG